TTATAAAACCAGGGTTATTCTACCCTGCTAACCTTTCCTTTTACTTGACATGACTATCTCCCTTTACAAGCAGAGTAATGTGTAGAATGGTAGTACTAACTTAACCAATGATCCATGGATATTTAAGTTGTTTACCCATCACTAGTACCAAAAAAAAAAAAAAAAATCCTATAATAAATGATAGTTAAAATTTTGTGCACACAATTATGTTTAATTATGTTTCAGGATAAATTTCCGGAAGTGCATTTTTTGAGCAAGGCTGTACATTTTAAAAACAGTTGTTTTATATGCAGTTTTTTTTTCTCTTTAGTAGATTCCCATCTTTGTGTGTGTGTTTGTGTGTGTGTGTGTTTAACTTATTGTTACATTTATTATCTTTATCTTTATTTTTAATCCTCACCTGAGGACATTTTTTTCTATTGATTTTTTAGAGAGAGTGGAAGATGGAGGGAGAGACTGAGAGAAATACCGATATGAGAGAGCCATATTGATTGGTTGCCTCCCACAAGTCCTGACCAGGGCTGGGAGCCTGCAATCGAGGTATGTGCTCTTGACTGGAATTAAACCTGGGACCCTTCAGTCTGCAGACCAATGCTCTATCCGCTGAGCCAAACTGGCTAGGGCCAGATTTCCATCTTTTTGATAGTAGATATAATCACTGGAAGCAGCTAAAAATTAATGAGGGGGTCAAGTGTGGTAATTAAAGCGAGAGATCAAGTGAGGCAAAAAAAATACTAGTTTTGGTTGGAAGCCTCTACTATTCAGAACTGTGACTTGTTTGCACAGCCTACTCAAAGTAGTTCTGAAGGAGGTCACAACAGGCATTCCTGTTGTAGGCTCATTATCAAACTAAGCATGGTTCTTCCCAGACACAATGATGAAGGGGGCACTTAGTGAAGATGCTTTCTTTGGATTCATTACTTTGCAGTTATATCTCATTCACACACAGAAAATCTCAACATTTGAGCCACTTTAAACAGATGTAATGGTTCACCTACCTTAAATACTGCAGGATTTTTTCTAGTATGACATTCTCATAAACACTCATTTGGCACTCAAATGACAGTTCACACACATTATCTTTTTAATTTTCATACTACCTCTAAAACTATAGATGCTATCCTCTCTATTTTATAAAGGAGGAAGTGGAGGCTCAGAGAAGATAAATGATTTGCCCGAGGCAACACAGCTGATAAAAAGCAGAGTCAGGATGCCAATTTGGTTCTGTTTAGCTTCAAACCCCCACGTTCTTCTCATTTTCTGACCCAGCCGTGTAGCGCCTTTGTATAATTCTTTAATGTATCATTATAGGACTGTTCAATTCTTAACGGCTACGATTAAAATTTCTTAATGGCTCTATCACTACTAGTGAATAATCATACTCTTTATTTAACCTGGAAGTGAACTAAACAAAGCTGGAGGTGTTGCTTATGAATAGGCTCATTTATATTCTTAAGAAAAACTGGCAGTAACTACAAAACCTCATTTATTCAATTTAAATAAAGTAAATATTGATACTAGACTTTACATTTAGAGAGACTTGTCTGGCAAGTGAGCATGTTTTAACAATAACCATAGTAAAAGAGAAAAAAAATTAAAGCACTATGTTAAATAAAAGGCTAATAAACCTAGAGGAAACAGCTCAGTGTTTTCTTTTAAACCCTGAAGAACACCAAACATGTGTGTTGAACAAAGAGTCATTTTAAGAAAAGACTTATTAACAATTCAGTCGTAGAGCCAGCACTAAAAATTTCAATGATATCCAACTCAAAAATGCATAGGGAGTAAATTATTTTATTAAATCATGCACATCACGTGTGTTAGTGCAAATAGTTTAATCTGTACTCCAGAAATTCTATTGTACTTTATATCTTTACAAAATAGATTTAAAACAATTATTTACTTTAAAAAATGTAATTCTGAAGTTAAGCATTTCAGAACAATATTTGCAATAACCTATATACAAGAGGTACTGGGTACCACTGGCATATTAGCATTCTGTGGTGGAGTGGCTTCCTGCAACAGAAAATGATGAAATGAACTATATATGACAGTATTTCCTACAAGTCATCTGTGACTAATTCCTCCATAAATCTAGTGATCCTCCTCCCAACAGCCAATCCCGAATAGCTTAAAACATAACCTTTAAAGTACAAACAGTGACTGCCAAACATCACAAGGCAAATTATATCCTAAACTTCTATTTCAATATTTGGCTGGGCCTGTGGATTGCCACAGAACATTCAAGCCGGTTCATTGACATCGCCTCCTGGCCTCATTGACTGAAAAATTTAACTATGCGATACTTTAGGATATTCTATGATCTAAACAAACTTTATTGACATGACTGTGGTGCTACACAAAACCACCTCTGTGTTTTAAATTTATAATATCAAGCAGTGTTTAGGTGCTTCACTGAGCCTGGAACGCTATTAATCTTGGGAATAGTGCTTCTCATTAACAGAACATACCAATTAACAATTAAAAGAAAATAACCATTTGCATATCCAACCAGGAAATCTGTTGGTAGGTAACAACAGTATACTTCGAACATTAATTAGCTTTGAAATAACCATAATCAAATTAAGTCAGTAAAAGCTTATCTAAAGAGAAATTAATTCTTTCTTCAATTAAACATGCTTTGGAGGAAGAGATGATAGAAAAAAAAAAATCATGCTTCCTAAAATGCTGTATATGAAAAAGTAACTTGGCTTTAAAGAAAATATCTCTTTAAATACATGAGGTTTAATAAATTACATTCCAATTGACTCAACAGTTTGGTTTACTGCACTGAAATTATATAATTACTATGTTTTTGCTTCCAGAAATTCTTCAGTTTGCTTGAGAAAATACTCTCATGGAAAGTTTTTCAAAGATGATGTCCTCCACATCGTCAAGTCACATTAAGGCTAAAAAAGCGTGCACATATTGCCCAAAGTATCACTAGAGCAGAATACTTTCCAAGTGTATTATTTCTCTTAAAAAAAAAAAAAATCCACACAAAGAGTTGTCTCTAAGTCTTGTTCCCAATAGCTCAGTGGTTTTATAACAAGTAAAAATGGCGTAAATATGTAAAAAATATATATGTGTATATATTTCAAACTGATAGGCACTGAGCACACAGGGCCTCTCTTCCCATGTATACATCGGTTGTTTGGTTTGGGTAATTAACGAATCAGAAAAGTGAATTATCTGGCCTTCAGAATTGAGAGTAAAATACCCATAAATTTAATGTTATAAATAATCTGGTGTACCAAGAAGCCTACTTTAGGCCACCATAATATTCAGAACCCCAACATACTAATTTAAAAATCACATGAAAAATTGCAAGCAAGTTATTGCTTACAATAAAGTCACAATTTTATATTCTCTTTATAGACAGATACATTTTATATAATTTAAAGCAATGACCCTACAGCTGTATTCTTGCACTTCTGTCTGCTGTTTTAAGAGGTAAAAAGGAAGAAAATGGTTCTGTTTATCCCCAGCATGAGTGTGATGCCAGCTTCTAGAGGGAGGACGGTGTACGGACTCAAGAAACACTCTCATGGAGAAGCTCTGGCCAGACCTGGCACGTACAGCACGATGGCTGTTACTGCAACCAGGGCAGCCAACATGGGCATCCAGGGCCAGGGTTTCTGTGTGGAAAGAAACCAAGAGTCAATATCACATTCTCCCCTCTCCTTTCATACCTATTAACCCCTTGGGTTCCAGAGAGTCCTGAATATTTAGACTATTAGAAAAACCCTATCTTTGCATAAGAAAATATTTTAAAAAGAAAGGAAATAAAGGTGAGGGAGAGGCATAACAGCAGGAACTCTTTTAGAGGACCACTGTGAGGAAGCCCGATACATCTTGGGCAGTCCTGGGCAGTTTTCAGTTTTGTTGCAGCTAAAACCCAACAGTGACTTCTAAGCAACCCTCTGGACTCAGCCTGCTTTATTTACTCCAGTCCCCATATGTTACAACTAACCGATGTACACAGATGCCTGGAGTATATTTCTGCCTAAGCTGTTTACTTCTTGATAAAAACCAGACTCACATGGTAGGATAGTTTTATACAAAAGGCTGGTCAGTAAGGTGATCGAAAGAAAATGGTCTAAGCTTTGATGCTCAAATTTGAAACCACATAAGACAAAATCAGACGGGGTTCAAGATAGGAAGCGCTACTTAGGGACTCTGCCTGTCTGATACTATTGGTAAAGACCATGTCCAGTGTAATAATGTCATGTGATGATCTCATCTGATCTACTAACATGCATGCCTATTGGAAGCAAACATGGATGGGCTGTTCCCTGTTAACTTTCAGAGGGCTTTATATTATCAACTTGCTTTTGGTTGAGAGCTTTATTTTTACTAGTGTTTTTATTAAGAAAGTTGGCTTTTAAGGAAATATTCTAATGTTGCAGACCAGGGCTCAGAAAGATATGGGCTAAGTTTACTCTCCTAAGTAAATGCACATTGGGGTTGAGATTGTGAGCCAATGGTCCATTATGTTAATCTCATCCTTTCTCATCTTCATAGCCATAGTGAAAATATAGGCAAGGATTAAAACAAAGAAACTACACTATGGAAAAGAAGAGGGAAGGGAGAAGGGGAAAGAAAGCTGGCTGGAAACTTCATAGAGGCAAACTCTTCATTTCTCATTAAAGTTTGATTAAAAATGTAATTGGGAAGGGATACTAATATTGCAGAAATTCATAGCTTACTCCAGTTTGTTAGAGACAAAGACTCAGTTAAAGGCAAAATATTAACAACTGGTTAGGTTGGGAATTAATTCATTGTTAGCATTACTACAAAGGAAACAAGACAAAATGTTACATGATTAGTTGATTGTTCAGTTCATTCAAATGACACAATACATGGCATACTAAATGAAGGGTTTGCTTCAGGTAACAAAATACCCGTGTGGTTTTGCCATGCACTTTATTACAAATATGGTATAAACAGGTGACGGGGACAAACAGACAAGGACTCAACAGTAGTGCTTGTACCTTTCTCTACCACAATGGACCGAAACACCAAAACAGGAAAGCCAGGAATAGGCCGATGAATACGGCTGGGACGGGTTGTAATATGGAAGGCTAAAGAAGGGAAGGGATATTAAAATCATTTTATGCTACAAAAAATCAGATAAGATGATTTAGACCCCAAGGGGGTGGGAGGAAGGGTAGAAAACTGAGGTAATAGCAGTATTAGCACTCAGGATTTGCACTGATTCAAACATTTTAAAGACATCTAATACAATCCAGAATGATGGACTGTGGTATGTAAGTTGACAAACTGCAGTCTAAGAGGAACAGCTGGAGGAATGGGCAATGTGGGGGTGTCTAACATCCTAATGAAAGGCAGTATGTTAAGACAGAGCAATGACAATACCTCAACAACTGATGCTCTGCTTGACAGTACATTATTTGTGCTTCATACTTGGAATCCATTATTTGACATGAGTATATTGGAAATGGCTAAAATTTATTTGATCTCTCCATCAAAACACCAAAACTCTCTTGCTGTTGCTTTAAAGCTTAAAAATAAATGCCCTATGCATGTTTCTAAACCAAATAAGAGAGCTGACATATGTATGATAAATCATTTGGAATATGAAGACAGGCAGCTAAGGGCTTTAGGTTATATTACCAAATATAAACAATTATTAACTTAGGAGGAAATTACTACAATGAGTGTTATTACAGAGTAACACTTTAGTACCACACGTCCATATCATAAATAAAGGGATATTCACCCTTAAGGTAAATTATTTGTACAACTACAAATAATAATAATAATAATAATAATAATAATAATAATAATGTTACTTTACAAAAGGCTCTAAATGGTGCAGGGAATCCATTCTGATTATGCTAGATGTCTTCACAGGTTAATTTAGTAGGAGGTAGACTGAAATTCCATATTCAGAAGGATATGAATTAACATAAAAGGAGTAATCAAACTTGGAATCAAACCATTATGATCTGATTTTAGAAGAGTTCCGTATTCTATATTTTCAAAACAAATGCGCTCTATTTTTGCTTAGCATACAGCCTCCAGAACCCATTCATCAACTTCTAAAAGGCTTCTAACTAAGCCACATGCCTTTATTTAAAAGAAACACACTAGGACTTTCTTTGGCAAAGGAAGGACAGCTGGACACAACTCATGAGCATTTTGTGACGGCCATGCAACATCACTCTTTTGCACTTGGGCTGTGAATTAAGCAAAGTGCCTTCCTCTGCAGGAAGTGTGTATCTCCCGCAGTGTCCGAGCCATGGCAAAGGTCTGAAGTAAGTCACAGCACATCTAACCACACTGAACATCATCTATCAGTTAGGTCCCACAAAGGCAATGATCACCAAAACATGTAACACAACATTTATTTAGTACCACATCTTTTTAAAGACCATCTGCCTTTCTAGCAAATGAAAAACAAATTAATATTATTAAACCCAGTTTATACTAAAACATTCCAACTTCACACGTGTGCACACACACACACACACGCACACACATAGCCCTACAGAAACTCTTTAATATTTCCTAACATTTATGGGAAGCCAAGAAGACTCTAAGTTTTTTTTTTTTTTTTAGGAATGTGCCTTAGTGAGAAAGTTATTAGTATAAAATAAGAACCATAATAAAGTTCCCATTTTTGGACACAGCCAAATGCTAAGGAGTCAACATGAACTACTCTTTCTTAGGTGGGACTCTGGTGGTACAAAGCTTCATTTCCCAGCCAGGAGAAAAAGAGCCAGAAAGTGGGACAGAAGTTCAGACTCGCGAGGGAAAAGCTGACCGTTCTCAGGCAATTATTCTCTTGCAAACAAGGCTCTTGCTCCGGGCAGTCCTCAGGCTCTTCTAGGGTATAGGTTAAAGGGGCAAATTCTTAACTAAAAATTTTGACAACACAGTGATTCCATCATGGCATTTCATAATGAAAAGTTTAGTTTGTGTGTACTGTAGGCCTTAGTTTCTCAAATCAGTAATGAAATCCTCTGAGGAATCGATTTCAGGGCTCTCACCTGCCCCTTAATCAAAGTGAAGCCAAGTTTGCAAAGACTTACATTATTTCCTTTTTCTCGGAGCAGCTTCAGGTTGTCTTTACATTGTTTGAGCTCATCTGTGATTGACTGTTTTTCCTGCTCAGTCTTTTCAAACTTCAACTTCAGTTCTGAGAGTACAGTCTGTGTCTTTTCATACTAAAGGCAAAGAAAAAAGAGTGTGCAGACTCAACTTAAATGGGTATGAAGTTATGGTTCTAGTCAGGCTTATATACAAGACCCTATTTAGTCACCTGCAACACCAAAGTCAAGCCTTTTTGTTTTAAGAAGGATAAGAATTATTTACACTAATAATAAGGAGTCTTTAATGTTAACTTGATTCTATGTAAGAATTTTCTGGCTCTAAAGTTAAAAAAAAATTAAGAGACGTCACTAGTGTGTCATCTGTTTCTAATATAAAAGGTCACTTTTTCCACTAAGTGAGTTAGAGGAGAAAAACAGAGCAAAAGAAAAGAAGTGAAGAAAAACTCCATAGCTTAATTAAATGGCAAGGTTAGAAAGTATGAGTTTATATCCTAGTAAGTATAATAGTATCAGCCAAGCTATTTTAGTCCTGAAGTAGAATTAATCCCCATTAGTTATCCTTTAATCCAGCATCACAGATTATGAAAATGTTCCAGATAAATGGATTTCTAGGCAAATAAAGCAAAGAAATATATCTAAGGCAGCAGTCGCCAACCCGCTGGTCTAAGGTACCAACCGCTATGAGTACAGACATTTCTATCTCTCAACTTAAACTTATAAGCATCAATTAAAAGTTAAGTTTTAAAAATGTGTTCCTCGCTGTAACCGGTTTGGCTCAGTGGATAGAGCATCGGCCTGAAGACTCAAGGGTCCCAGGTTCGATTCCAGTCAAGGGCACGTACCTTGGTTGCGGGCACTTCCCCAGTGGGGGGTGTGCAGGAGGCAACTCATCAATGTTTCTAACTCTCTATTCCTCTCCCTTTCTCTCTGTAAAAAAATCAATAAAATATATTAAAAAAATAAAAATAAAATGTGTTCCTGATAGACATTATAGAAAAATGTCTATAGAAAAGTGAAACAAACTACTTCCTGCTCTGAAAAACAGTTCACAGTATATAATTTTCAGACACATTAGCTAACCTTCAAAAAGACAGGTGAGGTCAATGAGAAATGCAGTATGGTTTGCCCCTGCTTTAAATGCCCTGGGAGGCAGGAATTCTAGTCTGGTTCCACTTTAGATATTGCATCTTACATGCAAGTTGGGCTCCCAGAGAGTAAAGACTGTTCTGCTGCTGGCTGTGCCTTTGTCTCGGCTTCCGCTGCCCCACTCTGCCCTCTCTGAAGATTTTGGAAGAAAGACAAGGGCTGAGTAGAAAATAAATATACCATGGGTCTGCCATACCAGAAAGGTTTTTCTTTTTTCCTAAACATAGCCCAGGAGGCTGGGAAGTTTCTAATCCTTTCTGCCTGTATCCTAGAAATTCTATAATGCAATTACCTTGGAGCTTATCATTATGCACCCCAAAGTAATTCATTTGCAACAGATTACACAGATATAAGGTAAGTAACTAAGAAGGGTAAAAATGTATAAAAACATTAGTCTGAAGAGGTGGGGGAAGAGGGCTTGGGGTCAGCAGAAAAGTCACCAGAAAATGGGGAGAAAGATACGTGTACAGAGAAGGAGGAAAAATATGAAAGGAGCTCCTTGTTACCTACCAAAGTCCCCAGAACAAGTCCAGATAATATACCAGAGAGTGAATTAAGGAGCAAGATTCATGGACTTCAGGACAGCTTTTTTGTGTGGGGTCTGTGGACTTCCTTCCAGAAGGCAAAAGGTTATCGGCAGGCTGCCAAGGCAAATTCAGTGTACCTAGACGAGTCTCTGTGCCTTAGAATATAATCAACTCTCAATGATCTGATTCTTAACAGTGAAAATAGAGCAAAAATGAAAAGTGCTTTGCTGACCTAAATTTCCCCTTACTTTCCCTTCCCACCATTTTCACATCCAGCCTGCCCTTCACACCCAAGCACTTAGCCATTTCTCCGTTCCAGGAGTTGTGAAGCTGAAAGACAGGAAGGCAGCTCGGTCAGGAGATCGGCTGTTCCCCTTTAGCATGTGAGAGGGGTAGGAAGAACTCTGGCCTCGGGACAAGACAGTGAGGCCAAACAACTTCTGAGTTAGTCTTTGCAAGGTGACTTGTATATTCAGTGTACTATAAAGTCATAGATATTCCTACTAATATGTAGATGCTTTTTAAAGACAAATATAAAGATGATTACCATTATTTTTCTCTTAATACTTAGGGTAAAATGTATCATTCTCATGTATTTGTCTTTGTTAAATATTCAAATAAAAGCTGCCATCTGTAAAAGTTTAATTGTTGGAACAAAGGTCACCTTCTGCAATCTTAGTTTCATATCTTGCTTGGATATCACTTTTGCTTTATCTTGCTTTCTAACTCAGAGGTGAGAAATGAGCTCATTCTGATTAAAAGGGAAATACCACACAATATTTCCAACACTTTTGGTTTTCTTCTTAAATAACCTTGCTTATTAGCTGATAATATTTTAGCCCTTTACAGTGTTGAAGATACATAATTATAATACTACACATGATTCTATGAGAGAAAGGAAAAGAGGGATATTGAAAGGGAAGAATATATATGCATTAATAAAAGGTAGTAATTCATTTGCAACAGATTACACAGATATAAGAATCTCAGTAAAGAACAGTTTAGTTACAGACTAGTATCCAATAGTTGACATTATAACAAACAGAAAGAGAAGCAATTTTACATTACAAAGGAGTGTGATGACTACACATCATTTCACAATGGAAAACAATGAACAAGAAAACAGAAAAGAAACATACTGACAAGATCAGACATATTTTTAAATATGTTGCATTTAATGCAATCCAAAGGCTATCAACAATTTAGATGCTGTGACAACATGCCACTGCCATTTGTGGAAATAGTTAAAGCATTTTGCATTGATGGCTCGGTAACAAAAAACAGGCAAACAAATAATGCAACAAAATGGTAATGCATTCATAGTAACATACAACAGAATCATCTTCCAACCACAGCATTCTTCCCAGATTTTGAAAGAATTATGGCATATGGACTGGAAGAACACAAAGTGCTTACAGTATTAAATACTTGGGTATTTACTTTGGCACAAAATTTGTGTTCCAACTAAATAAAATGGGATTTCTCCCCAAACATATATCCTTAGCAAGAGGATAAAAATGAACATATTACAAAATCATTATGGCCACATATACTGTTACAGTTGTGGGTTGTTTTTTTTTTCCCCTTTAGGAACAAACATGAAGACAGAATAATCATTTTTCAGTTCAGGATACTACAAGGAAAGGAAAGTGCAAAGGAAAACTGCATTCATTAAACAGATTTTCTAAAAACAATTTTGGGAAAATTCGTTATTAAAGACAGAGAACTGTCTTTAACTTCCTTCTATTTATAATGAATCCTTTGTTTAACAGAGTCTACAACTAGGATGGGCCCTGACCAGTAAGTAGATCAAAATGCACCAGCCTTCTCCATGCCCAGAGCTGGTCAGGAGGGAATGCAGGCCAGGAGTACAAGGCCAGTAGGACTGAACACAGCTCTTACCACCACATTGTTAACTTCAGGTCTTTGCTCAGAAGAGGCTGGGTGGGATCTCTGCTCCAAAGTCATCCTTCACCATTTTAAATATGATTTTTTTTTAAAAAGCCATCAAGTCAAGGTTTTAAGCAAAATGACATGCAACAGGAACATGTATATTTGTGAAGAAGGGGAAAATGAGATGGGGGTTGTGGGAGTACAGTCAAAGGTCATAGAATATGTGTTTGGCTGGCCGGCTATTAGGTGCATTTTAAGTAACTTTTCAGGCCTGAGGGTTTTAAACAGCATTATGGTGTGGCTTCACTTTATTTTCCATAGTATTCTTTTGTTTTTGTTTTTTTTTTAAAATATATTTTTATTGATTTCAGAGAGGAAGGAAAAGGTGGAGAGAGATAGAGACACCAATGATGAGGGAGAATCATTGATGGGCTGCCTCCTGCATGCCCCACAATGGGTGGGGATTGAACCCACAACCCTGGCATGTGTCCTGATTGAGAATCGAACTGTGATCTCCTGGTTCATAGGTTGATTCTCAACCTCTGAGCCACACCAGCTGAGCATTTTCCAAAGTATTCTAAGTTAAGTGAGATACTATCTTTGAAAGGGTTAAGTGAATTTGTACAAAGGGCTTTTCATATAGGACAACTAACTGGTACAGAAAAATTTTTAATGTAATTTTATATATTTATATTTTTAATGGTTTGGTCTAAATATAAATTCTCTATATATGGGCTACAATACACAGCTAGAGATCACCAAGCAGAGATGTTCCAAGCATCAACTTCGTGACAGGTAACGTAACTTGATTTCTAACTAGCATGAATATCTGATTTGCTTTTGGCTTTAAGTCCAACCATAATGGGGCTTATAATGTCTTTCCGCTTTACCTCTTTCTGTACATCCTTTGCTTGGTTTTCAGCCTTACTGAGAAGAGTTTTTAAATCAGTTGAATCCCGAAGATGCTGTTCTTTCAAGGATCCCATCTGATTCTCAAGCTCTTTCCTTGTCATCTGAAGGATGCCGAGATCGCTGGTAAGCTCTAAACTCTGCTTCTGAGAACTGTAAGATAAATATTCACTGTTATTCATGTATAAACTAGACTCAGCAGGAAGTCCAATTCCTTAAACATTTCACTAGGAGGGATGGAGTCTTCAGAGGAGAAAAGAAAAGCATATAAAAAAATAAGAGTTTCAATAAGTAAAAAGTGTCAAAACAATAAAGAATGCAAGTAAGTTTAAAGCTGTGTCCTTTTTGTAGATAATCACATAAAGATTGAAATTTAAAAATAGAAGTAGAAGGTGACTATATTTTGTTATATCACATTATATTAACTATGATAAAAGATTCAGTGTAGGTCTTCTGCAGGAAAGAATACCATTGTGCTTCAGCTATTTATTATAAGTACTTGACAAATAGGATGAGGGATAGAAACTCACAGTGTAGAAGTCACTGCCAATTCAAGTAAAGATAAACCTACTCAAATGAGAAGACACACTAAAATGGGGAGAAGCACAGGACAAAGAACCAGGAGGCTGGGGCTCCTCTTTGAGTGTGGGATGTTAAGCAAGTCACATAAGTGGTATAATACCATGCTCTCAGATCTGTGCCAGGCACCATGCTATATAGACAGATAACACAAGGAGAGTCTCAGTGCCCTCCATGGAACTCAGTTTCTGAGGCTGTTTTCTGGCCTATGATTACTACATTTTAAAACTTCATTTAAAAAAACAACCACAATTTACACATTAGGAAAACTGCTTGATAGGCATAAACAGAAATTCTTTATTCAATTCCTTTTACATCACAGACAACAAAGAACAAAAGACCTGAATAGTATAGTTGTGTTAAAGAATTTGGCTTCCAGAACCTGGCTGGGTAGCTTAGTTGGTGAGGGCATCATCCCAATACACCAAGGTTGCGGGTTCAATCTCCAGTCAGGGCACATACAAGAATCAACCAACGAATGTATAAATAAGCGGAACAACAAATCGATATCTCTCTTTCTTTCTCCCCCTCTCCCTTCTGCTCTCTCAAGTCAATTAAAAAGATAATTTGGTTCTCATATACAAACGAAAAAGCTAGAGGAGGATAAGGTCTTCAAAAGGACAGTTTTATGCCTCTCAGAATGAATCGTATGACTCAGGATATAACTGAGGTACTATCCTATATAATAAAACCCTAATATGCAAATCAATCAAACGGTGGAACGACCAGTTGCTGTGACACACACTTATCACCAGGAGGCAGATGCTTAATGCAGGAGCATCGCTCAGCTAGACACTGGGCTCACGGCTGGAGAGTGCAGCAGCAGACTGTGAGAGGGTGCAGGCCAGGCTGAGGGGACTGGGCCTCTAGTGTAGTATACTAGTAAGTCACATTTTGATTGTATGCGAGGCATGTTCTTAGGGGGCAGGTCTGATATCAAGCCAATACAGCCAGGAACTAAATGGCATAAAATAACCTGTGAAGAAAGACTAGTTTCTAAATATGAGTATGCTGGGGAGGCTTACCAAATAAATTTGGAGAACTACTAAACCAGAAGTTTAAGAAATTAATTTATCTTAAATAGTATATATAATTTAGACAGTCAGCTTAACCATCTAGTATGAATATTCCAAACTCTGTGACTTCATATATATATTAGAGGCCTGGTGCATGGATTTGTGCATGGTGGGGTCCCTTGGCCTGGTCTGTGGGTGTCAGGCTTAAACTGGCTCTCCGACATATCCTAAGGGGTCCTGGATTGTGAGAGGGCTCAGGCCAGGCTTAGGGACCCCAGTGGTGTATGATCAGGGCCAGGGAGGGACCACAGGAGGGCTCCAGGGCCTGACTAGCCCGTCTTGCCCAGTCCCAATTGGCTGGACCCCAGCAGCAAGCTAACCTACTGGTCGGAGCATCTGCCTTCTGGTGGTCAGTGCACATCATAGCGATTGGTCAAATGGTCGAACAAATGGTAGGACACTTAGAATATTAGGCTTTTATTATATAGGATATAATGTGTTTCTTTTGTTTGTTTTTTTTATATTTTATTGATTTTTTTTACAGGGAGGAAAGGAGAGGGATAGAAAGCCAGAAACATCAATGAGAAACATGGACCAGCTGCCTCCTGCACACCTCCTACCGGGGATGTGCCCGTAACCAATGTACATGCCCTTGACTGGAATCGAACCTGGGACCTTTCAGTCCACAGGCCCACACTCTATTCACTGAGCCAAACTGGTTTCAGCAAGGATATAATGTTTTTTTACTGATTTTAGAGAGGAAGGGAGAAGGAGAAATAGAAACATTGATGAGAGCCCAGCCGGCGTGCTTGGTGGTTGAGCATCAACCTATGAACCAGGAGGTCACATTTTAATTCCCAGTCAGGGCACGTGCCCAGGCTGTGGGTTTGATCCCTGTTGTGAGGTATCGGGCTGTGCAGGAGACAGCCAATCAAATGACTCTCTCATCAGTGATATTTCTATCTCCTTTTCCCTCTCCATTCCTCTTTGAAATCAATAAAAATATATTAAACACATACACACACACTTTCCTTTAAATAAACAAACAATAACAACAAAAATCGAAACATCAATGAGAGAGAACATAGATCAGCTGCTTCCTGCATGCCGTTACTGGGGACTGAGCCCCCAACCCGGGAATGTGCCCTGACCAGGAATCAAACTGGCGACCTCCTGGTTCATGGGTCGAAGTTCAACCTCTGAGCCATGCCAGTTGGGCCCCTTTTTCTTTTTTTGTTAATCCTTAACTGATATATTTTTTTCCTATTGATTTTTAGAGAGAGGAAGAGAGACAGACAGAGAAAGAGAGAGAAACATCCATGTGGTCAATTATTTGCCTCCCACATGCGCCCTGACTAAAGTTGGGGATCGAGACTGGGATCAAGGTACCCTTGACTGGAATTAAACCTTCAGTCCAAGGGCTGAAGCCCTATCCACTGAGCCAAACCAGCTAGGGTGATCAATGACTTTTTGCTAGTCTTTTTTTCTTTTTTTTCTTTAATATATTTTATTAATTTTTTACAGAGAGAAAGAGAGGGATAGAAAGTTAGAAACACCAATGAGAGAGAATCATTGATCAGCTGCCTCTTGCACACCCCCTACTGGGGATGTACCTGCAACCAAGGTACATGCCCTTGACCGGAATCGAACCCGGAACCTTTCAGTCCACAGGCTGACGCTCTATCCACTGAACCAAACCGGTTTTGGCACTTTTTGCTAGTCTTAATGCTCTTGAGGAGGGTAAGCACAAGGCTAGTAAGAATAATGACTTCCATTTTGGTGTACTGGGGAAAAGGAGGTGGATTAAGAGTAGCTTCACTAATAAACAAGTACTACTTTCATATTCTGAATATTAATACAAATGCTATTAATATTTAAATAAAAACTTAGAACAGATCAAATTTTTAAGGAAAAATAAGATTGAACTCTGCAACAAATGTTCATGTGAAAACAGGACTCCACTAATCTATTAAAGTAACTCTATTGCATTGATTGGTTTGCATGGAAGATACTGGATGTTAGAAAGATTTAACTGATTAGAGAATTCTTGATCTTATATATTATTACTATTTATGTAACCCTGTTTGAAGTCCAGAAGCTGAATTTGTGTCTTTTAATTGTATAAATTCTTTGTCATGGTTATCTCATCATCCTTATCGTAAAAGAAGGAATCACAGGCGTGAAAGGAAAGCAAACTTGTATTTGAAATTTATTATTATTTAGTTTATAGGAAAAATTCAATAATTAATTATAGATCTTTGCGGTACATTTAGGAATTTTTTTTTTGGGGGGAAGGGAGCATTTAATAAACCTATACACCAAAAGGAAAGAATGTGTACCATGATGATGGTGGTAGAAAAAGAATGCTGAAGCAGTCATGTAGCATGGTTAACCTGCCAAACAGCAAAATGAGACTGGCTGACCATTTTGCTCCAAAAATATACTTAAGTATCAAAATTAAATTAACTTTAGATTAAAATGTAAGATAAAGAAATATTTCAAAGCTAAAAAGAGTTTTTGCATACTTGTGCAATTCTTTTTCTTGCCGCTGCAGTTCTGATGATAGCAAAACATTTTCCTTTTTTAGAGAATGGCATTCAGTTTCCAATAATTTCCATTCCTTTCTCAACTTCTCTAGTTCACCTAAAAGAATTACAAAACATATTCATTAACATAGGAACATAACTTCCATAATTAAGAGAAAAAAAGGTGAAAAATTTCAGAGAACAACATATTTCCCCCCCTTCAAAAACATGTAGATTTTACATGGCTAGTCTTAGACTCCTATTACTCTGCATCTAAACCTCAAGAGAAGCCCCATCACTTTGAACTTTTGTAATCCCCTCCCCACTTCACTTTTATAAGACAAATCATTTTTAAGAGTATTTAAATAAAACATAAAATTATAAAACATTTAGTTAATTCTAGAACTTGCAGACCTGAAGTTCTTATAGCCCTAATAGAAGACATTGCTTTGTACAATCAATTGCTATCAAAGAGAAGAAAAGCCTGGATCGTTAATTTTTACAAGTTATATGGTTATCATTGTCAAGAGGTTAGAGCTTATGTAAAATACACTTATTCACCTTGTAGCCTTGTTGCTTCCTCTCTCTGCTGGTCTTCACACTGTTGACATCGAAGCTGAAAACTGTTTTGCAGACTTGTGATTTCTTTCTCATATTCAGACGCTGCTTTCCGCCACCGCTCAAGCTCACCTCGCACCTTCTTAAGCTCTTCTTGTAAAGAAGCAATGTCAGTGTCCCGCTCAGAGGCAGCCCTTTCTGCTGCTTGATGAAGAAGCAGAATTTCATCTCGGGCACTAAGCAGTTCATCTCGAGTGCTTGTGATTTCACTGTCCTTCTCCTCCCGGAGATTCTCAATATTGATGTGTAATCTCTGCAGTTGGGCTACAAAAGTATATTTATCTATCATTTTCTTAGTCCATAGCAACCAGCAATATAAGAACAGCCTATATGGGCCTGTGGTCACTATACAACCCAAGCTATCAGAGCTGTTTGTTGTTTTTTATTCGATTGGACAAACAATCTATGTATAATGTAGAAAATGGCAAGATCCAGAAACACAAGGAGAAAAAAAACAAACCAATCTTTATTCCCCCACACAGAGAAAGTTGCTTCTAATATTTGGACTTATTCTTCTGGATATTTTCTATGCATCTATACACATATGAGACAAGACAGGAAGGGATAATAATACGTGTAGTGCTCTCTATCCTGCTCGTGATGAACATCTCTTGACAACAGAATAATTACCTGTAAGTTTTTGATGGATTCTTTATTTTAGACATTGTAGTCTGCTCAGTTTTTAATTATTCTAAACAATAGTACTTAGGGTGAATTCCTAGATTGAGTATGCTTGATCAAATGGTAACTATTAGAAAAATCTTGTATGTTCTTGATTCAATTTTCTGTTCAAATGTCAACTCCTTAAAGGAGCCTTCTCTGATGACTTACCTAAAATATCCTGTCATTCTCTAGCTATTTACCTTGCCCTTATTGGATATCACATTATATATTTATTTGTTTTTTATATTTTCACTAGACTGTACATCTCCTGCATGTTCTTTCCCCAGTACTGGCAGAGTAAATAGTCAAGAATTAATAAAATTAATGAATACTGCCTAGTTTTTAAACTTTATTTTTATTGTTGACACTATTACAGATGTCCCCATTCAAAGAGGTGGAGTTTTAAAAGATCTGGTCTTATGTCCTCATGATGGAACTGAAAATAATCTGTATGAAATAACACTTTATTTAGGACTAGAAAATCTAGTTTTGGTTACTATAACACAAAAAAATTATAGGTAAAAAAAAGTTTCTCTGACAGAAGAAAATAATAATTAAAACAATCAAGAGGATTTAAGGTGGGGAGAGGAGAGGAGGAGGAGGTTGCTCCATAAATAAATATTAAAGAAAATATTAGGCCTTTTAAGTGTGCAGGAAACACTGAGGTAATAGGTTCAAAACCTGAAAAGACACAATGGCCAGTGATAGAAGGACCATGGATTTGTGGATTAAGTTCTGAAATATACATGCTGGTACTAGGGGGCACTCTTGGATGCTTAGATAAAGCATCTTTAAAGACAAAAGGCAGCACTAAGTCACAGAAGATTGCCCATGTCCAATACAAAATGGCAAATAAGATTTATATAAACTAATGAATAATAGCATTAAACTATAATAAGGGCTTAACAAGTTTTCAACTTAAAATGATATACAACTTACACCAGAAATTCTAATTCGACCATAATAAAATTTAAAAATTTTAACAGCTCAAATACTCCACTCAAAAGAAAACCCAAAGACTGGCTTTTCTCTGGGATATTTCAGGACAAATATCACAGGCCTCATACAATGGCTCCCCATTTCTTCTGAAATGAGATTTGTCTATTTAATTTCTTCTCACCCTATCTCTCAAACTAAAAATTTAACTAACATTAGTTCCCTCTTTGACAATGAAGGCAAATTAATCTTGCTTAGGAATCTTACTATAGCATAGGAAAGGAAGATCTCACTTGGGGTATCTCACAATTATAGCCTCACAGTACCAGGAGCTGCAGTTCAAAGAAAACCCATGGCAGGCAGAGGTCTTTCTGCTCGTTTCTGCAATGACTCAGTGATAGCCCACTAAATGGGGGTTGTGAAGAGCAGTCTTTACCACTGAAGGCAGTGTTGGGACTGTTATTCTGTTTCTTGTGGTATATTATTTTTGTTGCAATGCCAAGTGTGTTATGAACATTAGCAACATAAGCTAATGCACAGAGCAGCTTAAACTGATTTCCTATCTGAAGGCTCTCTCTATAGTAACTTACTACAACAACTCAGAAAGTGACAATCTTTCCAAATCTTCACCTTCATCCCTGTTCTTCTAATCCAAATGTCTATTGTTGGAGTATAGGGGAATCTTCCTTTATACAGAAAAAAAGGGAAGGAGAAAGGAAGAGATGGAGGAAGGGAGGGAAAAGGGGGGGGAGGGGGAAGGAGCTCACCCAGTTATAGGCTCAGATTCTAGGGAAGAACAAAGGGAACACTGCACTGTTAAGTTTCCATCCCCTGTGAATACTAAAAACTATCTCAAATATCCTTGGAGTGTCCATACCTTGAAGAACCTGTATTTGTTTAGTGGATTCCTCAATTTGATTTCGATAGGCTTTTCTTTCTTCTTCCAAAAGAGCTAAAAGTAAAACACAGTATATCTAATTTTGTGAGTTAATAAAAATATTCAGAATTGGACAGTGGGAAATTTCTTAAAAATTCTTTTCTAAAGCTTATTGAAGGAAACAAGTTAGGCAGTAAGAATCATCAGTATTAGCAGTTAGGCAGTTTAAATATTTTAGGAGCACAAAACAGTAAGTAGTAAGTAATAAATTTATTCAATTGAGTAGTAGGGTTTCCCAGACTTTGTATCACTAAGATATGTGTTATTCTTCACATGAGAAACATTCTTAATAGCTGTGAATCAGCATCTTGAGCTTAAATAAAAAAAAACAAAAAAACTTAAAATCCTAATGTGTACTATCAAGTACATAGAAAGTACTGACTAAATAACTGCTGTTTGGGAAATGTGTGTGTTTTTTTTTTTTTTTTTACTATAATTAAATTAGCCTAGGCCCTCCACAAGATTCAAGTTCAATGCATACCAACTCTAATTTCTCCAAGAAGCAGGAAAGGAAGGGAATAGTAGCTCCTCCCTGAGAGTTTTCCTCTGGTCAGGAAGGCTGTCTTAGAGAACACGAGGATGCACTTTCTCCTCACTCTAAAACTTTCTAATGTACTAACTGACTACAATCTGGCAGTTACTGTGAATGATACAGAAGTGTAAGCTCTAGCGAATAGCCTATGACTCCATTGGCCTATGACACTACAGTTAAGTGAGCTACTAGAAAAGAAATGGTTGAGACATTTGAAGATTCTTTCTATACCTTAATCTAGCCTGATTCCTTCCATTTCCAGTGCTGAGTACAGTGGAAAGTCACAGGGAATATAAATCTCCCTTATCTTATACTGAGTAGCTAACATTAGGTTAACTAAAATTTAGAAATTTACATATATAGCTTTTCCCTTTTGTTGTATTCAATAAGTAATTAATTAGCAAGATCTTTCACTGGCAGAGGTCTTTCATGATGTTCACATAAAAAATGTGAAAGAAATAGAGCAACCAAACTCTCTCCACTTTATTGATGTGAAACGTAAGTTCACAGTATAAGTGAACGTCCCAAGATCACATATCTCATAAAGCTGTGAGTCAGGAACAAGAAACCTTGCCTCTAAACTCCAAGTTTGGGGCCGTTCAGTTATATCATGTTGCCTCCACATCCCCTAAAGAATCAAAGTAATCTTGATCTCACCTTGAAGTTCAAAGCATTTTTGTTTACTTGCTCTAGCTAGCTCTTGGGCTTCAATCAATTCCTTGCGAAGATGCTGAATTTCTTGTTTTGCCTCAATTTCTGAATGTGCACCCTGCGAGTCATCTGATAAAAATGTTTATTTTAAAAGCAAGAGTTAGTATCACAATATAATCTCTACAACCAAAGATTAGCAATCTCCTTCATATTTAGACATGCATAACTAAACAACACAGCAAAACTAAGTTAAATAAAACTTGGAAGCAAATTATATTAAGCATTTTAGTCATTTTACCTTGGAGAAAGAATATAAGTACAGTTAAATAACTATATTAGTAGCTCATGGCATGTTATATAAAACATATATTAATACATACTAAAATTATAAATTTCACTCATATTGAACTTATGGAAGGCCTGAACTTCAGTAAGACAAGCATAATGCTATTCTCCCCCCCCCCCCATAATGCTATTCTTTACCAATTTTGAAATTCTTTGATAACAAATCAGAACAATTTCAGTTTTAATTTAATTGGAAGTGAAAAAAAAAGGAACTTATTTTCAAGAAAACGTATTTTTACCATGATTTCCCCAGTTGTGGGATACAAAATAAAAATGAGGCTGAAAGCTGCACTGTGCACACTTTGTCATCACTGTTTTCCCAACAATACACACATAACATATTTGTTGAATTATTAAATGATGTAAGAAATAACTTAAATCGTTTTATTGAAAGAAATTAGATCTACTATTGCATCTCAACTATATCCCTCCCCTAATTTCTTTCCTTTCAGTCATTCATCTTTCATTGTATTAAAACTTTCTGCTACTGCACATTTCCTGATATAAATCAGTTAGGTCATATTCTTCCAGTACATTCTATTTGACTATTACTTTGATTTACAATAGCTCAGGTATAACAACTTTAATCCACAAAAACAGAGCTGCCCTAGCCAGTTTGGCTCAGTGAATAGAGTGTTGGCCCGTGGACTGAAGGGTCCCAGGTTCCATTCCAGTCAAGGGCACATATCTGGGTTGCAGGCTCAATCCCCAGCCCTGGCTGGGGCACATGTGAGAGGCAATCAATTGATGTCTCTCTCTTACACTGATATTTTTCTCTGTCTCTTTCTCTCCCTTTTACTCTCTTTAAAATAAGGTAAGGATTAACCAAGAGAGGGGGGAGAGGGGCCAGGGAAGAAGGGAGAAGGTAGAGCAAGCACAACTGAGGCCCTGGCTGGTGTGGCTCAGTTGGTTGGGTATCGCCCATGCACAAAAAGGTTTCAGGTTTGATTCTGGTCAGGGCACATGCCCAGTTTTTGGGCTCAATCCCTGGTAGGGGGCATGCAAGAGGTAGCCAATTGATGTTTCCCTTTCACACTGATGTTTCTCTTTCTCCCTCCTACCCATTCTTCTTTCCCACTTCTTTCCTCTCTCTAAAAATAAAAAATAATTTTTTTTAAACAGCTGAGAATATAATTTCACAATACAATCTAAATAAGTCTCAGATGTTACATACACATATTTTCATACTCATTCATTACATGGGGAAAGGGGAGAGATGAGGAAACTCTTCCTTATAGTAGAAAGCCAGCCAGTAAATGTAAAAGGAATGACAGAATTATAAAATCACTAATAGTAACAGTTGATTCAGGCAAGAATCATCAGTAGATGCTAAAATTAAGTAGATAATAGTAGTAACAGGATGTTTACATACCAGTGATAGAACAATTTAGTATCAGATAACTCCTGATAACTATTATTATTGTTATATCCCTACCAAAAATACATAGCTTGAATCTAATCATGAGGAAACATAAAGGTACAGACAAACTAAGGGACATTTTATAAAATACTGCTCATCCAAATGTCAATGTTATGAAATACAAAGAAAAACTGGAGCCAGGGACCTGAAACCTTACTCCTGCTGAGGGAGTCTCCTGCTCCCATGGCTGCTTAACTTCCCATGCCCAGCTCAAATGGGGACCGGGTAAGAGACAGAGACTTGGCTGACAGCAGCTGCCCTCACACTACAACAAGAATTGTTTGAGTTGCCTTGTAAACATGGTATGGGGAAGTGGGTTTTTGATATCTAAATCCAGCCTACCACCAGGAATGCTCAGGGCCTACTCAAGAAGGCAAATAATCCTTTCCCTTAATATTTACACGGTAAAATAAGATTGTTTTAGAGTAATAAATTTGACAGTAAAATAGCAGACAAGTTTTCAGGCTAATTTAAATTGGCTAATTGAAATAAGTGAATATTCTAGAAAAACTAATTACACTGGACAAAAAGCGTTCCTAAAATGTTAACTAAAATTTTTATTGGTAGTTCATCTCAAGATAAAATCTCACAACAGGAAATGAACCTAAAGCAGTCATATCATAGTGTAAAAATTTAAAATTTAAAAGCTATCAAGACTACATTATAAAATTTTCAAAAGCCTCCTAATATTTAAATCAAAAAGGGGGAAAGTAGAAGAATATCATGTAAGGAAAAATATCCCAAAAGTAAATTACATCTAAAAAATTTTTACTTTAGAAAATTAATTGTAATGCTATCAGCAAGACACCCATGAAAAATACACATGGTGTCAAAACAAGCCAGAGGAAAATCATTTGGATAAAAAATGAAAAAGGATCCCAAGTTAAATTTATAGAAAATATTCCTTTATTAACTTTTGGTCAAGAATATGTTTGTATATTTTCAGAAAACAACTCTGAGACCATGTGGATTCTGGCAACAGAGAGGAATTGACAGGACTACTCCAACCATGAAGTCAGAAGAGAAGCAGTCTAGAGATGGAAGACTCTGACGATGCCTTGCCATACTAGCAGTCAGCAGCTGTGCATCACTGCAGGTTGCCCAGGAAGTTTGGAACTGCATTACCACCATTTGTCCACCATCCAGAACTGAAATATTATTGCTGACATGTACACATAAGGAACTGTTTGACAATGAAATTGGGTCTCAAAAGAACTGTTGGCCCAGAAAGAAACTCACTACAGTCTGATTCATATACCTTTCAGCATAATGATTATTGCTTGTCTCATTTTTGATTCTTAAGTATATTTCCAGTAGAACATGATCTCACTCATCTAGGGGAAATGGTGAACAACATAGACTGATGAACAAGAACAGACCCAGAGATAATGAGCCATGGGTCAGACTGTTAGACCTCAAAGGGAGGGTGGGGATAAAAGGGAGAGATCAACCAAAGGACTTGTGTGCATAAATATGAGCCTAACCAGTGGTCAAGGACAATAGGTGGGTAGAGGTATAAGTGGAGGTGGGGGTAGGGGATTGGAATGGGGGGTTGAGGACAAATATGTGATCCCTTAATCAATAAAGAAATTAAAAAAAAAAAAACACCCAAAACTGGAGCTATTCTAGATTAAAGGATACCAAAGAGATATAAAAACAGAATGCAACCCATAACTTAGGATTTTCTTTTCTCATAAAGTTCATTATTGAGACAACTGATAAAATGTGATTAAGGCTTGTGGATTTAATAACAGTAATATATATTAATGCTAACTTCCTAATTTAGGGAATTGTATAAGAGTTATGTTAAAAAACCCAAAAAATTCACAAGGAAATATTTAAGAGAAAAGGCTATGATGTTTGCAATATACTCTCAACAGTTCAAGGATATAGAGAGAGGGAGAGGGAGAAGGAGATAGGTAAATGGAATTTGGTAAAATGTTAACAGCATTCAGTGTGAAATGTTGTTTTCATAATTAAAAGCATCTCTTGAAATTACCAATCCTAATAATACAATCTTAGAATAAGCCCTAAACATTTCTTCCTAAATTCTTGTCCTTACCCTATCTTGCTTGCCCTTCTTCATCTATCCTAGATTATAAAACTAGAACAATTCTTTTATTTAGATTAAGAAACTATATTGTCTCCTTGTGTATCAAGTCCAGTTATCTTTATCAGACTTTAAAGTTCTCTATAATCCGGTCATTACTTTGCTTTACTCACTAATATACTTAATTCCTAATAGTGTCCTCAGTAACTCCAACTCATGACTACTTCCTCACTTATCTTTGCTCATGCCATTTTCCTGTATTCCTCTAAACATGCCCATCATTTAAAACCCAGGGCCTAGCCTGGCCATGGCTCAGTGGTTGAACATTGACCTATGAATCAGGAGGTCATGGTTTGATTCCCAGTCAGGGCATGTGCCCGGGTTGTGGGTTTGATCCCCAGTGTGAGACGTGTAGGAGGCAGGGAATCAGTGATTCTCTCTCATCATTGATGTTTTTCTTCTCTCTCTCTCTCTCCCTTCCTCTCTGAAATCAATTAAAATAAATTTAAAAATAAAAAAATAAAGCCCAGGTTCCAGCCTCCACATCTAACCCCAGCACTGCATTGAACTCCCAGCATACCGTGGCTTCTTGCTTGATTTCTAGAACTAGACAGTAAAACCACATGCAAACCAGGAAACCTCTTCAAGTTCCTTAATGGTTTAATAATATTTAGTTTCATTTCTAAAAGAGCATGAATCCATATAGATACATAGGATTTTTTAAAAGACTGAAGATGAAGTAACCTAGTCCTTTCATTTGCACAATAGGAAAAAAGGTTCAGAGTTCTGAAATGGCTTACATATTTGGGAAGTGGGGGAGACAGGACTAGAATTCTCATTCTAGCTCAATTGTCTCCTATAAATCATGGTACCTTCTTAGTTATAGCACAGCTATTAAGCAGCATGCTTTTCTAACAACCAACCCTCATTTTTTTCTCCAGAAATAACAGGATTCCTATTATTGTTTTCTTTTTAGTAATAAATGTTAAGTGCATGTTTCATATTTCTCCTCCATACTATATCCCATCTAATATAATGCTATATATACAGTAGACACTTAACTATCTGGTTAATAAACAAGGCAATACAAGATTTGCATCTAAAATGTGTAGACTTTAGCCGAGGCCGGTTTGGCTCAATGGATCGAGCGTCGGCTTCAGGACTGAAGGGTCCCGGGGTTCGATTCCGGTCAAGGGCATGTACCTTGGTTGTGGGCATGTCCCCGGTGGGGGGTGTGCAAGAGGCAGCTGATCAATGACTCTCTCATCGATGTTTCTAATTCTCTGTCTCTCTCCCTTCCTCTCTGTACAAAAATCAATAAAATATATATTTTTAAAAAAAATAAAATAAAATAAAATGTGTAGACTTTAAAAAATAATAATAAATCAATGCGACAACTAAACAACTGTATTATTTTGAGCAAGGGGATGCTTTTATAAATGAAGAATCATTATGTAATCCATCCTGAAGGTCTATTAAAGCAGACATTTCTTGTTTGCAGCAGAACAATTCACTTGATCAGTGATGTTGTAAAACAAAACTAATACTTATTTTTCAAATTAAAAATAATGGAACAGATTTTATGTTAAGTAATTATATTTTAGGAGACAAACTTAATTTAGGCAATAATCTATCTATATATATATTATATATATATATATGCCTAAGTGACTGGCTGACTGGATGACTGTTCGATAGCTATGATGCATACTGACCACCAGGGAGCAGACACTCAGTGCAGAAGCAGAAACCACAGGCATGGAAACATGGAACAAACTGATGAATCTCAGCAGGAAGGGGGAAGAGGGGAGGGCAGGAAGAGATTAACCAAAGATCTTATATGCATAGTAGAGGCCCAGTGCATGTGCACCAGTGGGGTCCCTCGGCCTGGCCTGTGGGGATCAGGCTGAAACCAGCTCTCCCACATCCCCCGAGGGGTCCCAGATTGTGAGAGGGCGCAGGCCAGGCTGAGGGACCCCACCGGTGCACAAATCTGTGCACTGGGCCTCTAGTGAGCGTATAACATAAGGATTAAGCAAATTAGTTCTCTGTACCACATAGTGAAAATGACCAGCATTTTAATTAGAGTAAATAAGACATTTGTATCAAATAATGTAAATATATAAATTCTACTAGTTTGATCATAGAAATAGAGATATTGACCCCAAATCTTTACAAATTAAGTTTAATATATACACAAATGACTATATTAAAACTAATTAAGTAGTCAATGTGTTGATCCTCTTTTCAGAAAACCAAGTGACAATTTAGAAAAAAAAATTTTTTTTTTTTGGCCGGACAAATGAACAAATCTTTTTTCTAAGGTTGATCAATGGCTCATTGCATTTCATAGGGTTCTGTGGGAAAACGCATTATTAGTTTATTATGGCTTGGGTCTACTCTCGTGATACCTTACTTTTGTCACATACTTTTTATAACAGTGTACTTCACAATTTTGGAAAAAGTCTTGTGATAAGTATCAGTTCAAAATGTTTAGATGAAGATAAATGGAAGCCTTACTGAGCCAAATCCACTTTATTTAGCTGTGCAAGTCAGATGGAAATAAATGTTTTTAGAAACTATGATGGCATGGAAAGAATAACAGAATCTCTTTCCCTTTAACACAAATGGTTTATATTTAGAATTACCTGGTGTACAGTTTAGGCCAAGGGCTAGCTTTTCTCAGACTAAGTAAGAGTAAATCCTATAAGAGGTCCATACCACATAAAACCCACTAAATGAACCAGACTTGGAACTTGCAATAGCTATATGATGTCCTAATTAAACTTCTTCAGAAGACTGGAGAGTTAACTTAAACCTGCCCTTTGCTCTAAACACGGATAAGATGCTATGAACCACTTGGTAAAGGGCTAAATCAAAGCACTTTCCCCTCAAGTTCTATTTTGCATATTTGCTGAAGGCTAATGTAGCAGCATCTGTTAACTCGTCAATTGATAGAAGTGATCTGGCTGAGGCAGTTGGCCAGGTGGGTGTATCCTTTTTTGATTAACAGCACTCCTCCCTTTGCAAGGTCTGGTAGTTGCAGGCTTAGTTGAGGAGAACAACGGTTACAATGGAAAAAGACCATTTTTCTGTCGTGGGTGTGTACAGCCATATGAGATAGCCCTACACAGCAACCTCTTATTGTTGATTCTCACCCTTTGCCATTCCTCTGACCAGCTAGGTTCCTTCTTGATAATTGCATCATTTATTGGCTCCTTTTCCTCCCCATTGTTTGTTCTTTCTCTATCATTTTCCCTTGCTACTAAGAATTCCCAAAACATGGTTAGATATGCTCTCCAAAGTTTTCACCACGCCTAATTAAACCCTGTCAAAACTAACTTCCATGAGACCATAGTCTTTGCATGTGTCTTATCTCAGTATTTCTTAGGTCAATAAATGTCTCAGAAATAAATGACAATGACTCTCTAGTCCTAGTTTCTGTCTTGTACTTCTAAAGCATTTCTAATTCCAAGGGTAACAATATGAAACAAAGACACCTTTAAATGTGAAAGGGAGCACTTGTAATAATTATGCTTGGACAACAGGCACACCAGAATCTATGGTCACTTTCCTATTCAGCACGTGCCAAACTAGAACCATCGCTTTCCCACCAGGATACCTCTTCTTCCAGAAATTATATCTGACTTTCATTTTTCTCTCATATTCTGCTTCTCAGGCCTATGGATTTCCGATAATTACCAAAGAAAGAACAACAGAGCCCAATTTTGTTCTTTTGTTTAAATTTCCACAACAGTCATCCTAATTTAGACTGTCAATAATTACCTAAGCCTCTGTACCTCCAGCTTCTATCTATTCTAATTCATATAATAAGTCTCCCAAAAATGCAGGTCTGAGCAAATTTCTGTGCTCAGAAGCCGCTGAGTTTTGCCAAAATAATCACCCCAACTTAAGAACACTCAAATGATTATGTGAAAAAACTTTAATTATACTGTACTTGTCAAACCCATATTATAAAGATTGTAGTTTTTAATATTTTCTTTGAAAATATATCTCTCTTCTTAAAATCCTAACCACTTAAAATATATATCTATATAAATATATTCTCCAAAAGTCAAGAACTAAAAACAAAAATAACTAATATTATTCACACTGAAAATAATAATTCCTTAATATCAAGTATCCATTTAGTATTAAAAACTTCCCCACTGTCTCAAATTTCTTTTGCAGTTGGATTGTTTGAATGATGATCCAAACAAGGTTCACACATCAAATTTAGTTGACACATCTCTTAAATCTCGTAATTTACTTGAAGAAACTAGATCACTGTCCTACAGAATTTTCCACATTCTGATCTTGTTGTTGTATGCGCACCACATTATTTAGAACATGCCCCTAACCTTTAATATCTTGCAAGTTGACCAGATTCAGGTTCAGCTTTTTAAATTATTAAACACATCATACATAATATGATAGATATACTTTCAGGGTCATCTCAAATGATACTTATTACATGAAGCTCAAACTGCCTTCCCCTTCCTATCTTCCAAAATAAACAAAAAGAAACATAAAAAATCAAAAAATTCTTTCTCCACTTTGACTCCTAATGGCAACATCAACAAAGAGCAAACAGGTGGTTTTTCCCAAAGAAGTTATTTTCACCTTTTTCTAAATTATGTTAAAAATGGCAATGAATTTCTATCCGAGGAACCAAGGTAAACACAAAAAGAACTGTTGCATTTCATATTTTATCACTTCCTGCTTTGCCCTTCATAACCTAGACTGATAAACATTATTTTACAATTTAAATATTTTTGTTTGAAGCATTGACACCAACACCAACATCTTAAATTTTAGTTCCTGCTACTTTACAGAACCTATCTTACTTAATCTTTTAACTAAAATTGAAAACCTCACATTATACATGGAATTAATTTGTGGCAACGGGTATAAATCTGATGCCCTGGTTTAAAATGTCATAAAAACATGTTAAAGTACCTTTTAATAGGGACACTTTAGCAAGCGGTTCATTTAGGTCTTGCTCATCCATTTGAGCGTCTACAGAGGGAAAAAAGATAATTATAAACAGTAGTCAACTCTATCAACAAGCTGTTACTTTCAAAATAAATAACCGAAGTTTATACTTCTACTGTATTTGAATAGTTGAAATTTATATAGCTATTTTTATTTGGATAGCTCTAACAATATATTCAGGATTCAAGAAAATGACTTGGTAAATGAAAGCACTGCTTTTCCCTGAAACACAAACTTTGAAATCTCTACCCATATTAATCTGCATATCTAAACTGCTTGGTAATAATAATATCTGCAAATTAGTAAACATTAGGTTAAAACTCACCTGTAGCGTCGTCACTACTTTTTTCTTTGCTTGGACTCAGAGTATCTGATAAGTCAGATTCCTTTGCTCTTGCTTGATTTTCTACCAAAAAAGGAAAAAAAGCAGAATCTTATTATAAGTAAATAGCTTCTATCAATAAAACTACTGCAGGCTATGCGTGCTCTAAATCTACTGTTATACAAAACGTTTTACTTTTAAAATTAACTCAGGTCACTAATCTCTTACTTCTTCACCACTCTAGTCCAAAATGGAATGCTGGTTAATACACGTAGCTCATATTAAATTATAATGTGGAGCATGTCTGCTGTGCAGAGGGCTGGGGCTTTTGTTCAAGGCTGTCCACTGGCCAACTGGAAACAAAAATGAAGCAAGCTTTGCTAAAGTATTTAGAAAACTGCAACAAATATAACAAAATTCTCAAGAAAATGTGGACATTTTATGATGATGAAAAAAATGGCTCTATTACATAAAAAAACACTAGTTTGCCTTAATAATATTACATAACAAAAGTAAAATAATTATTTGTTATAAAGGTAACACTTAAGACAGTAAAATTAACAAACTTTTATTTAAATTTTTTGAAAACATCTTTATTTATTTTGTTAATCTTCAACCGAGGGTATTTTTTCCATTGATTTTTTTTTTTTTTTTTTAAGAGAGAATGGAAGGAAGGGAGGGAGGGGAAAAGAGAGAGAGAAACATCAATGCGAGAGAGACACATCAATTGGTTGCTTCTCATACACATCCTGACTGGAGCTGGGGTTTGAACCTGCAACCAGGTACATGCCCTTAACCAGGAACTGAACCTGTGACCCTTAAATGCTTGGGCTTATGCTCTAACCATTGAACACCAATGGCCAAGGCAATAGCCTTTTATATCTAAAGAAAACATAACTGTATCTGAACCACACTGAGGAAAAAACTTTTTAAAAAGTTTTATATTTGCAAGTAGTGTGCTGCCTGATCCAATGAATATATCCTAGGTATAGTTTTCAATGAAGTGCTCTCAAAAATCCTAACTGTAACTCCAACAATTAATTAAAGATGGCCGGGAATTAATTAGGCCCTAGATTCTCAAATACACATCTGTGTATACTATGATATGCATTATGATACTATTTACAGAGATGGTTGTTTCTCTAATCATAATTTTTTAGCATTTCCCTATTCTCCACAAGGTCACAGCCAATTAGCCACAAACTTGACCCTGCATTAATTCCCATATGAGCTCTTTTTCAATTAGGTCAGCCTCTTAGAAAGTCAATGCATGTCAGCTCATTATGACCTGCAATTCTTTGCTTAAGTTGAATTCCCCTAAACTCAACAACCATTCTCTCTACTTAGCCTATTCATTTTGTAAGATACAACACCTCTAAGGAAGTCTTCATATTCTATCTCCAGCATACCACTCCATTTTTTTAAAAATTTAAAAAAATATATTTTATTGACTTTTTACAGAGAAGAAGGGAGAGGGATAGAGAGTTAGAAACATTCAATGAGAGAGAAATATCAATCAGCTGCCTCCTGCACACCTCCTACCGGGGATGTGCCCGCAATCAAAGTACATGCTCTTGACTGGAATCGAACCTGGGACCTTTCAGTCCACAGGCCAATGCTTTATCCACTGAGCCAAACCAGTTAGAATGCATGCTGATTCTTTTTATTGCATCTTCTTTATTGTATCACTAGAGGCCTGATGCACGAAATTCAGGAGGGTAGGTGTCCCTCTCACAATGGGGACTACTGGCTCCTAACTGCTCACCTGCCTGCCTGCCTGAATGTCCCTAACCACTTCTGTATGCCAGCCTGATTGCCCCCTAACTACTCCCCTACTGGCCTGATTGATGCCTAACTGCTCCCTTTCTAACTTCACACAGTCATAAATTATTTGAAAAATTATAGTGAATATACACTGTCTTATAGTCAACTAAATGAAGACATTTTCCATTTTGGAAACAATCAGAAATCTATCTAAAATCATTACTTGTTAAAATTAAATATAATGTTAAAATATAACTTGTAATGGCTATTCCATTTAAGAACACCCCTAGAATTTGTGGCTTACCATGTAAAAAGGATGATGGATTACAAAAAGCCTTTGCTTCTTTTCTCACTGTCTTTTCTAGTCAAAGATTGATTACTGAGAGATGGAACTGAGATTAGAAGTGAAGTCACTGGCCATGAAGGCCCATGGGCATCCAATCTGTTCTGGTGCATTCATAACGTGCTATAATCAGACATTCCCAAATGTCCTAGTTTTGATCACAAAGTTACAGTCTCAAATAAGGCAGCTAGTACATCTAATCTACATAGATACAAAAGGAACCACTCTGGGGGAACAGAAAGGAAAACAGAAAAATGACTCTCTTCTGATTTTTTATATTCTTGGCAATTTTATGATCAAGATATTGAGATAAAACCAAGAGGGATATATTTTCAAAAGCATTCTTCTGGTTTAGAAAGAACATTTGTTTTGTATTCAGAGTATTATTCAGGAAGGTAAAATTGCTTTAAAAGTTGGTCCAACCCTTTCATTAGCTTACTAGAAAAAAATAAGTTCTATGAAGGTAGGGATCTTTTCAGTTTTGTTGTTATAACCCTTCCCCTCCACATTGCATAGAACAGTGCACAGTTCATAGTTGCTTTTAAAAAAAGGATGATTGAAGGTACAAATCTACTGTAAGTAAAAAAGAAAAGTTTTACCAAGTCAACTCATGGTCCACCATATTTATGTCCTGATATTATAGTTACTAGAGATCTGATACACGAAATTCGTGCATCGGTAGGGTCTCTAGACCTGGCCAGCGATCAGGGCTGATCAGGGCCTTCCTTTGTTCAGCACTTCCCCCTGGTGGTCAGCGCATATCATAGCAAGTGGTTGAACTCCTGGTTGGTTGAACTCCGGAGGGGACAATTTGCATATTAGCCTTTTATTATATAGAATTATATGGAGGCAAACCAAATCTATTTAAGAATGAAGCATAAGACACAATAAATGATTGGTAAAGTATCTACCCCTATTCTTCAGCTATGAAACAGCATCCAACTTTCTAGTATTAAAAGTCCTTAGTAACCAATGTCACCCCAATCAATTAAAATTTTTTTTTAAATGTATTACTGGTTCATTTCTCTGCAGTATTTAATCATTAAGATACACACCAATAGTATACAGAAGGAAATAAAAATATAACTACCAACATCAATACCAAAACTACTCCCAAACTGGGAAGTCCACAACAAGGTGACTATTTTCACTGTATTATCTTTGAGTAGGACATACAATGGATGGGCAAAACAAACATATGGGCCACAGACCACTTGGTATACCATTAGAACCAGGAAATAGAGCAAGGTTAAGGATCAGGATAAGAAGGAAAAGGGGAGCTGACAGGCTGGTGTGGCTCAGTTGTTGAGTGTCAACTCATGAACCAGGAAGTCAGGGTTTAATTTTCAGTCAGGTCACATGCCCGTGGTTGCAGGCTCAAAACCCAGTAGGAAGTGTGCAAGAGTCAGCCAATCAGTGATTCTCTCTCATCATTGATGTTTCTATTCCTCTCTCCAACTCCCTTCTTCTCTCTGAATTCAACAAAAACATATTAAAAAAAAAAAAAAAAAAAAAAAAGGAAAAGGAGAACTAACATTTGTGTGTATACCAGTATGGTGCTTCCTGCTTTATTTATTTACTTATAAATATATTTTATTGATTTTTTTTTTACAGAGCGGGAGAGGAATAGAGAGTTAGAAACATCGATCAGCTGTCTCCTGCACACTCCCCACTGGGAATATGTCCACAACCAAGGTACATTCCCTTGACCAGAATCAAACCTGGACCCTTCAGCCCACAGGCCGACGCTCTATCCACTAAGCCAAACCGGTCAAGGCTGCTTCCTGCTTTATAAGCAATGGTTCATTAAGTTCCCACAAAACCCTGCAAATTAAATATTGCCAATCTAATCCCTGTTTACAAATAAGGAAACCGAGGTTTAAAGAACTAAAGTAAGTATCTGATGGCATATGGCTAGTGGTAGAACTTGACGTTCAATCCAGCTGTCTACTACTTTCTTCCTACTTTCACCCCTAAAGCAACTGTAAACACACATTAACTGCAAGTTGAGTAAGGGCTTAAACAAAAAGCATATACAGCCAATGATTACATTTTGCATTAGGTAAAATATATAAAGTCAATATTAAGATTGTATAGCTGATAACTGGCAATTTCTAGCAATCAATACTTTCAATGCAGAAAAGAAAATTCCCCTAAAAAGTTTATCAATAAAACAAAAATAATACAATTTGGCCAGATCCAAAAGAAAATACTTTATAGCCAGATATAAAATATTAAAATGTAACTTATTTCAGCCATCAAGTTTGTTACAAGTATTACCTCTGTATGTTTATTGTGAGAAGTACTAGTAAAATGCTGACTGGTGATAAAAAATCTCTGGGTATATAAAACTTGTATCTGTATTATTATTTTTAAAGGGTGTATTCTATTCTCTTGCATGAATTATTTTCTATAATTTATTAATGGACACCTATGTTTTTCTCTTTTTGGTTTTTAAAACAGGCCCTGGCTGGGTAACTAAGTTGTTAAAGTGTTGTCTCAATATGCCAAGGTTATGGAATTGATCCCTGGTTAGGGCACATACAAGAATTATCCAATGAATGCATAGATAAATGGAACAATAAATTGATCTCTCTCTCCCTCTCAAAACAAAAACCAATTAAATAAAAAAAAAAAAAACAAGCACAACAAAACCAAAAAAGCAACACTAAAACAAATACCCTTGCACATTTGTTTAATCGTTTCCTTAAGATAAAAAGGCCAACCCTAAGTGGCTCAGTGGACAGAGCGTCAGCCTGCGGACAGAAAGGTCCCAGGTTCGATTCCCGTCAAGGTCATTGGTTGCGGGCACATCTCCAGTAAGGAGATGTGCAGAAGGCATCTGATCGATTTCTGTCTCATAGATGTTTCTAACTCTTTATTCCTCTCCCTTCCTCTCTGTAAAAAAAAATAATAATAATAAAAAAAATATATATTTTAAAAAGGCTAGAAGTAAAACTGCTAGATCAAAAAGCATCCTCTTTAAAACGTTCAATAGATATTTTATACCCAAATTTCAAAAGGAAATCGGTAAGACTGCACAAACCTCTTTAAAAAACAACATCCCTTAATTTTGAGAAAATATAGTTTAATTAGGAATGCATTAAAAAGAAGCATCAAGATACTTTTCTTTAATTAAAGAAGCATTCATTTTTCCACCAAAGGCTTTACTTCCCACTTCAGAGTATTGCTTATTCAACCAACTAATCTGAATAGATATTTAGGTGATGAAGCACAAGTTATTTTAAAGTCTGTTCTCATCTCACTTTAATAAGATGAAATAAATTGCCATACATACTAAAAATAGTTCACGTTCTGAAACTCAATGCCTGCTTGCCAGAACAATATTAGTGGAGCATACTCTATGCATTCTTTCCCCAAATATGGCATTTGCCGTGCACAAAATTCAGAATGGAAGCCACCAGATATTTGAAATAACACTATCCTTTAAAATATTTTTGGAATATTTTTAAAAGCCAAATAAATCCAATTATTTTCATTAAATAGAATATACTGAAATTGAGTATTCCAAACTTTTATCACTTGTTGTTTTAACTGACCAAAATAATTGGGAATGTGGCTTTAGATTTTAAACTGGTATGTTCTGAAAGAAGTCCTAGAATAATCAGAAGCATATCCCATAAAATTTGCCTGATTTCCCTATGTACAAAAGTGACTTGACACTATGATGCTTTAAAACTCACTTTTCTTCTCTAAGTCTGACAATTGTATCAGAAAACAATTAACAGAATAAAATACTTCAGGCAAGTATAGGACTATTCATGATAAAATATAAGAAGATCCTATGTATTTACTTTTGTTTAAATCAAATTGAGATTCAACAATGAAGAAAATATTATCATATGAAATGTTAAAGGTATAATATCCTCCCAAAATGAACTGTAAACATTTTTTACCTGTTGTTTCAAATAAGATTTACATTATATTTGATTAAAAATTTGAGATCAAAGCTGAAGTGAAAGAGATAGCAACAAATCTTAATACCTAACGAAACCTATTCTAAGCACTTAAAAACAAACACATATATAGCCTTTTAAAAAGAAACTTTCCAATTAAGATATTCTTCTTAAAACAGAACTCCAACTATTTTATATTATTATATGACACTATTACAGGACTGCCATTTTTTGAGCTATAAGAAATAAACTGATTTTTAAAATACAATGACCTTGAAAATATACACTAACCTTCATTATCCAAGAGTCGGGAAACCCACAGAAAAATCCCACAGAACACAAACCTTTTGAAAGCTTTGTTTCTTCTACCACTTTGGTTAGATGCCCCTCGACGATCAGCTTCTCTGCCAAAGAAAATAAACGTTACTACCCAAGCCCAAACCGAATAGCATTTCCCTGAGCAGGGCAGTCTGTGCAACACATTCCATGACCAAATTTAAAGATGATAACATTACTCCCATGACTAGGCTTGAACAAGAACTAGACCCTGAATGGGGAACTCAGAGAAATCAAACTCTAATAGGACAATCAGATTAATGCAGAAATCTGGAGGTAGGGGAACAATTTACCTTTTATTTTCATCTTAAAGCCTAGCAATTTTTAAAAGTACTCAGATCAAACAAAGCAATCCTATTTAAATCAAGGATATTAAATTGAAATAAAGGAATTCTGAGAAGGCATGTTATTTAAATAAAGAAATAATATAAATTATGTTATACCAATAGTTTACTTTTCCTTATTGATACTATTTAGCAGAGATGCCTATATAACATTTATTTTTAATCAAATGAATCAATTTAGAAGAGTTAAGTATTTAAAAAATAAATATTTAAATACTTTTATAGGGGATTATCTGTAAATGTATTATGTAGCTTCTTTATAATTTATTTAAAGTCAGATTTTCATATTCTGCATTTCACTGAGGAGGAGGATATAGCTATCCTTTATATTCCTACTTAACCCTGTATGTCAGTTAGTCTCCTTCAATTTACACTTTTGCCATATGAGACACAATTTCTCTATTCTTTCACTCTTCAACCTATTATAATACAACTTGGTCTACACCCACAACTCAATAATCAAAACTGCTCCAAGATCACTATGCCTATCTGTCCAAACCCATGGCTCCTTTTCAATTTTCTCCTCCCATTTAGGCTCTTTACAGTATGTGGCACGCTTTGCCCCAGCCTCCTTTAATAAAAGCCAAAGTAAGTCCTGCCAGTGTGGCTCAGTTGGTTGAGCATTGTCCCATGCATCGAAAGGGACTCGGGTTCGATTCCTGGTCAAGAGTATGTACCTAAATTGGATGCTCCTTCCCCGGCCTGGTAGGGGTGCATGTGGAAGGCAACCAATCAATATGTCTCTCTCACATCAATATTTTTGTCTCCCACTCTCCCTTCCCTCCTCCTTTCCACCATCTAAAAGCAATAGAAAAATATCCTCAGGTGAAGATTAAAAATAATAATAATAAAATTTTATTCTGCTTCCTATTTTTAAAATATATATATATATATTATTGATTTTTTTCTTACAGGGAAGAAGGGAGGGAGATAGAGAGCTAGAAACATCAATGACAGAGAAACATTGACCAGCTGCCTCTTGCACACCCCCTACCGGGGATGTGCCCGCAACCAATGTACATGCCCTTGGCTGGAATCGAACCTGGGACCTTTCAGTCCACAGACAGATGCTCTACCGATGAGCCAAACCGGTTCGGCTGCTTCCTATTTTTTTGTTTCAAGGTTGTAGGCTTGATCCCCAGTAGGAGGCCATGCAGGAGGCAGCTGATCAATGATTCTCTCTCAACACTGATGTTTCTATCTCTCTCAAGCTCTCCCTTCCTTCTGAAATCAATAAAAACATATTTTTTAAAAAAGAATAAAAACCCAAATCGCCTACTACTCAATTATCTGTTTTATATCCTCAAAAATTCTGTTGACATCTATTGTCTGTTGTAGTCTCCACTCCCATTCTCTTTGCCTTTGTGATCTTATGTCTTTTATAATCTTTTACTATGAATGGGTACATATTTAATAAAAATTTACTGCCTCCCTTTTAAAATTCTTTGATTTTTATAAGATACCACCTATTTCTTGCTCATTCCTTCCATCTTAGCCTTTCATTGGCTTTCCTTTCTTCTAATTGTGATCTAAATATGTGTTAGTCTTCGAGATCTCTTGTCAACAACGAAATTATTTTTAATGACATTATATGCTACATTATTTAAAAAAAGATTTTAAATTGATTTTTATAGAGAGAGGATGGGAGAGAGAGAAACATCAATATGAGAATGAAACTTCTCAGCTGCCTCCTACACATCCCCTACTGGGGAACAAGCCTAAAACTGGGGCCAGGAATTGAACTAGCAACTTTCAGTGCACTGGATAACACCCAACCAACTGAGCCACATTTATAATTTCTAAATATTGATGCCTAATTTAGACCTCTCTTTTAGGTTTCAGAATCCTATTGTTTTACTTCTTCCCAAATATTTTCACCCAGCAATCTTACAGGTACTTAATCTCATCTTGTCTAAAATGAAATTTATCTTCTCTTCCTTTTTCCTCTGGATGGACTTGGTATCTCTCTCTCCCCTTCTTTCCATTCCTTTTCAATTCATATCTCTATTAAGCTATTTCAACTTTCTATGTCTACTCTTCCCAATATATTATGAATTTTTAAGATTCCTTCAAATATTTACAACTATGCACCAGTTACAATACTAGGTATTCCTCAAAGATTATCAAGAGAAATGTAATAAGTCTAAAAATTTATTGTCTACAGAAAGCAGGAATAATTTTATATTAGGCAATTTACAGATGGTTGCTTTCCACTAATACAATTCTGACATAAAATACAAGGTCCACAAATGCTTGTTACATGAATATAGCAAATAATAAAATAATATAAACACAGACTTTGAAAACCATTCTAAATTTTCTTTAGTATGTTGAAGATTTAAGTAACACATTGTTTAAAAAATTATAAACACATATCATATCAGAAGTAATTTATTGCTTAAAAATTTCTCACTCTGCTGGTCTGGCTCAGTAGATAAAGTGTTAGCCTGCAGACTAAAGAATCCAGGGTTTGACTCTGGTCAAGGACACAGGCCTGGGTTGCAGATTCAATCCCCAATTGGGGATGTGTAGGAGGCAGCCAATCAATGATTCCCTCTCATAATTTAAGTTTCTATCTCTCTCTCTTCCTCTCCCTTCCACTCTGAAATCAATAAAAATATATTTTAAAAAAACACACAACTTTCTCACCTTTAAAATAAAATCTGAAGTCCTATCATGACCTATAGGCCCATGTGATCCAGCCTAGGGGTCAGTCATCAACAGCCCCCCTAGGCCAAATCCAACCTGCTGCCTATTTGGTAACTAGTTTATAGGAACACAGCCAGGTCCATTCATTTACAGATTGACCATGGTTGCTTTCCACTACAATGTCTGAGATTAGCAGTCCCAACAGAGACTTTATTGCCTACAAAGCCTAAAATATTTACTAACTGGCCCTTTATTTTTTTAAAGCATTTTTATTATTCTAAAACTCCAATTTCAAATCCGCCTTGGGTTTTCACCCATGGTTTCTATCTCACAGATTTTCCCCCAGGTACATGCATTACTCACTCAGTTTTGTACTAACTTTGTTCAAATCACATATATTATTACCTTTGTCGCTCCCTACTGCATTATATTTTATTTTTCTTCAGTGGACTCATCATTACCTAATATAATAATTTTTGTCTCTTTAAGGAAATATAAACAACATGAAGGCAAAGCTCTCTTTGTCTTGCTCATTTCTGTACCCACAACAGCTAAAATAATGCCTGGTATATACATACCGTGTTTCCCCAAAAATAAAACATCCTCCAAAAATAAGACTTAGTGCATGGAAAGATAAGACATCCCCTGAAAATAAGACCTAGCGCAACTTTGGGAGAAAAAATTAATATAAGACACTGTCTTATTTTCCGGGAAACAGGGTAGTAGATACTTACTAAATATTTGGTGAATAAATGAATTTTTAAAGGGATCAAACTTGGAAAAATTATTTGAATATTTTCCTCACTCTAACACTAAGGATTAAATACATATAAAAAGTTTTTTTTTTTTTAAACTTTCTTCTTCCTTTTATTATTTTTTATTTTATTATTATTATTATTATTTTTAAAATATATTTTATTGATTTTTTTACAGAGAGGAAGGGAGAGAGATAGAGCTAGAAACGTCAATGAGAGAGAAGCATCGACCAGCTGCCTCTTGCACACCCCCTACCGGGGATGTGCCCGCAACCAAGGTACATGCCCTTGACCGGAATCAAACCCGGGACCTTTCAGTCTGCAGACCGACGTTCTACCACTGAGCCAAACCGGTTTCGGCTTATTATTATTATTTTTAATAAACCTTTATTGTTCATATTATTACAAAAGTTCCTCACTTTTTTCCCCCTCCACCAGGTTCCTACCCCACCCCCTGCCCTTTCCCCACCCCCCATTGTCCTCATTCATTGCTGCACAGTTTATGTTCAGTCTCTTCCCGCACTCCCCACTCCTCTTTTCCCTGAGAATCATCAGTCCACTCCCCTTCCATACCTCTGATTCTATTATATTCAACAGTTAATATTGTTCATCAAGTTTTTTAATTCCCTTGGTTTTTAGATTCACTTGTTGATAGTTATATATTTGTTGTTCACAATTTTTATCTTTATTTTCTTTCTCTTCCAAAAGAACCCCCTTCAGCAATTCATATAATTCTGGTTTGGTGGTGATGAACTCCTTTAGCTTTTTTTTTATTGGTGAAACTCTTTATCTGGCCTTCGATTCTGAGTGATAGCTTTGCTGGGTAGAGTATTTTTGGCTGTAGGTTCTTGCTATTTATCACCTTGAATATTTCTTGTCATTCCCTTCTGGCCTGCATGGTTTCTGTTGAGAAATCAGCTGACAATTGTATGGGTGTTCCTTTATAGGTAACTACCCGTTTTTTCTTGCTGCTTTTAATATTCTCTCTTGTCTTTTGCTCTTGGGATTTTAATTATGATGTGTCTTGGTGTGGTCCTCTTTGGATTCCTTTTGTTTGGGGTTCTGTGCGCTTCCTGGACTTGTAGGTCTAATTCTTTTACCAGATGGGGGGAGTTTTCTGTCACTATTTCTTTCAGTATGTTTTCGGTATCTTGCTCTCTCTCTTCTTCTGGGACCCCCATAATTCTGATGTTGGTTCGCTTGAAGTTGTCCCAGAGGTTTCTTACATTATCTTCAACTTTCTGGATTCTCTTGTCTCCATGCTTCTGTGGAGGAGTATCTTCTGGCTCTTTATGTTCCAAATCTTTGACTTGATTCTTG